TAACTCGTCTCTAATCTTTTGTTTAGGCCGAATATGATGTGTAAATGCTATATCTGTGGACACTTACAAAAGATATAGAGTAAGTAAGTAAGTAATCTTTAAACCAGAGCAGACACAGGGAGAACATGCAAACTCCACACAGAAAGGCCTTGAGGTGGAATCAAATCGCCGCCCAAGATGTCAGCAAAATAGTGTTAGATGTCATTAAAAATTAAAATGTACATTACTGTCTCTTCAAGCTTCATTGTGATTGGATCATAGGGAGAAATGAAGCCAATTCAGGTGTAGTTGTCTGGCCAGATTGATAGATAGGTCAATACTTTATTGATCCCGAAAGAATCAATATTAGAGTATTAGTCCCTTGCTCACATTCACAAACACAGCCGGAAAATTACTAAGTTAAAAAAACACATTCACAAACGTCTAAAATCATGATGTAAATGAAACCTATTTGCACAAAAAGGATTTCTCAAGACTTTGAGAATTGCTGATCCGAGCACCTCATAGAAACGATGCATGGTGAGAAAATAAAAATAATATTGGAATTTATTCATCTCAAAACAGTCTTTTGCCCAGACGATGCAATATAATCCACAATCTTGACCTATCCGCGTCTCTTTCCACTCAAGAGCCTTGAAGGTAGTATAAACAAACACTTCTTATCAGAAACGTTCAGAACGATGGCTTTTCCGGTTGTTTGTGCTTCACGTCAACAGTCGTTTACAGACAACAGTTATAAAGCTACGCTGGTGTGAGGAGATGGAGAGACACTGAAACCCTGCAACGACAAAAGGTTCACCGCTTTGGAACACACACGACGGATGGAAATGTTTTAGTAAGTGATGTCGAGGATGGAGGAACCAGCCAAAAGTATGGTACTCCAGGTTACTCAGTCCAACAGTGAGAAATGCACTTATGTTAAGAAGTCTAGTACAGGGATGCCCAAACAAGTCGGGACACAAGGGATATCGAGAAGCAGAGCGGGGCAGGGGCCAAAATGTTCTTATTATGTTTAAAAAGTTTGTCGTTTTTAATTTAGGGGGACTTTGTTTTTCTTAGTGTCAGACAATGAGTGAGGAGCTAGGAACGTATTTTCTTTTTTTTTTCATGTGTGTTTTTATACATAATGATATTTATGTTTTATATTATTTCAATTTTGACAAAAGGATTACTTTGTGAGTTTGCGTATTCTTTTGTGTTAGATGTTCAGTTAATTTATGCTTGGATTGCCATTGAACCAAAAGGATTGTTAGACTGGGGAAGGTAATTTTTTTGAAAAATCTAAAAGCTTTAAAATGAGGTATGACAGGCCATGGTAGCTTTTAGCCGCTTCCAAAAACAAGAAAGCACACACATTTTCTATTTATTTAATTAACATTTCAGCCTTAATCAGATTATTACTTTCTCTTTCTTTGGACCACAATATTTCATTTTAAAATATTTCAGATTGCATTTTTTGTATTTTTATGTATTCATTTAATTCACTTGTGGACATGACAATACATCACAATGTATAGCTACATTTCAAATAATTGTAGTCCTGTCACACAAAATGAAAAAGAGCAGAAAAAAGAAAATAATCAAAGAATTTAGACCTCATCAAAAGCTTTTTGGTGTGCGACACATAATTTGTTAATCACTATTTTAGTTTTAATTGAAATTTAAACAACAATTGAGAATCATTTGAGGTGAGGGTCGTGTGGGTCCCTCTTTGGGCACCCCTGCTCTAGGAAGTCTTTGTTTGAACATCATAATCAAACAGCATCTATACCTAGTGTTTGGGATGTCAGTAAAGCCCATGGAAAGATCACAGCGACGGAATGAGTTATGTCTGTGAATAAGATGGGTAAATATTGTTTATTATACTTGATCATTTATACATCACAAACCCTCTTGTTTAGCTATAGCAACAATCGTAGGAACAGAATACAATTTGTACAGAGAGATGAAGCGGAGAAGAGTGAGGTGCGCTCTTTCGTACGGTTTGAGGCGATTCTCCCAAAAAGTTAAAGTACCAACATGGCGAAACTCAAAAAGACACTTGCGGTCCCTTCGTAAAAACGCCATTCTGATCTGCTTCCCAACAGATAACGAACAGTTTACCAATATGATGTAAATACGGTACTTCTAATATATATTATCTATGTAGCTATTTAAATACTGTATTTGACAGATCACGTGAGCAGTGCTGAATTTCTGAATGGCATTTGATTGTGAGTATTTACACACTTTAGTCAAGACTGGGAGGGTCTCCGTAAGCCTTCCAAGTCTGAGAACGGAATACTATCACAGAGCGTTGTGCGGCTGATGAGCGTCATGTTGTGATGCTATTTGAAAAGGCTATACAATCCAAAATATGAGCCGCAGATGTATTCACACTGCGTACAGGATATACAATCATTAATGTGTTTTAGATCCATCAAAATCAGTCTCTTCCAAGGATCTGTTTCCACACACTCAAACAGTACATTTACAACAATCAAGTTTTGTCCCCTTCATTTCAGGGCTCCATCACAAAGGAAACAAAAAACCCCACAGTGCAGTGATACATTCATATTCAGATGTTTACAAAGTCTCTCTGTCTGATGGAGCGACCTGGAGGAGATTGTATTAACACAGATAAAGATCAACGCTACATCTATCGTTTAAAGATCGATTGGACAGTTATAAAATCCCATTACATGTGCGGTTATTGAAAAACTAGAGGCAACAAGGGCAGTTTTCCATATATAGATGGTTTTACATATATCACAAAATCACAAATGTCACATGATCGAGTGGTGGCCAAACTTTATTTGTTAAGGGCTGCATATTGGAATATACACACTTTTAAAAGCGTAATTGCTGGACTATAAGCCGCTACTTTTAAAAATGTCTTTCATCTCTACCACCTATATAGCAATGCTGTCAATTTATATGTAGTTATATTTTTATTCTGGTGGAGTCTTCTTCAGGGCACAGGGAAGAGTTTGAACACCGCTCTATCAGCTGTGGTTTATGTTTATGTGAACAGTAGAGAGAGCAAACCCAACCCCAGAGAGCAGAGAAAATGAAGGGAAATACACAGGACTTGTGTTTATGTGATTAGGGCTCGACTCCAGGTGTTGTAGCTGTAGAATGCACTTTTATTGTCAAAATATATTGGTAAATGAGTCTCTACAGTGAATGTTAGCCTCCTCAGAGCTCATTGTGTCAAGATCTGTCTGTAACAATCATCAGTGAGTTAAGTTGCAGTCACAAATCATGTAAACAGTTACCGTCGTCCGTCGGCTTTGTTTAGCTTAGTTAGTGTATTAAAACATGAAAACCTGCGGCTTATATTCAAGAACAGCCTGAATGTCGAAAAAAATAGTTTATTTACTAATCTGAAAGGTGCGCTTCATTTACAGGTGCGCTTAATAGTCCAGCAAGTACTGTAATACCATATATCTGTGGTTTGAATGTGAAAATTCAATATCAAAACATTTTGTTCTTCATTAAAATGTTTTTTTAAATCAATTCTAAATGCACAGTAAAAATAAATTCTCCGTCTAATGTGGGCCAATTTCAACAGGAAGCTTGAGGCCCACAAAAAATGATCACATGGTCCCAGTTTCACACCCCTGATCGAGGAATAGTCTTACTGTTGTTTGTTTCATTAATAATATAGCAGTAAATTATTATTATTGATAATATTGAAGCAGGTAATTCCACATTTACTTGTATTTTACTGGATAGTGTCATTCATTCTGTCTGTACAAAAGAACGAGTCTAAAAATAGTCCAAAAACAGTGAATATAGTCCAGACTTCTAACCCCGTGCGCTCGCTCCTGTTTTTATAATAGCTCTCACGTTCTCGTGTCGACTTTAAGAGGTTTTCTAAAAAACATGTTGTTTTGTGACATTTCAATTGAACTTTGCACTCGGGTACAAAGAAGCAAAACCAAAACAACTCCCCCTCGTCTGTTATACTTTTCTATATGTACACAAAGCACAGAAGATGTTTCAATTTAGATTTTTATACTTTCGACTCGATGGAGTGAGCACCACAAGTTTATGTACAAAAAATGAACCCTTAGAATTTATGGAGAGGATTTAGATGTTTAAGAGGTGGGAATAAATAAGTACACTGTCTTTTTTTTTAATATAATGCATTATTTTTATTATTATTAATATTATCTATGTATTTTTAAAAATCTCCTCAAATCAATGTATATGTTTATAGCCTGAAATCACAACAGCAGTCGTTTCTAAGGACAATGTTTTTGATTTGCCAATAGCAGATTACAACAACACCAAAAAACGAACAATTAAAGCTGGGATATGTAACTTTCCAACCACAATATTGGAACTAAAAATCCACCAAAACTAGTTCCTCGCTCTCAAAACTGTTTGCGTCTATTGTCAGTTTTCACATGCATGTATTCATGGCCTTCCGTCAAATCAAAGAGAAAATGAGAGGACCCCCCTCACTCAGCCAATCAGCTCTCAGCGTCGAATAGTGACTCACAGGGCTGTTTCAAGTATATGCAAAAGAATACATGTTGGGTAATAACAAAAACATACATATTGTAGTCAGATTTGATTTGATTCTGATATTATTTATGACCAAAAAAAAGTAAGGTACCCCAGCTTTAACCAATGTAAATGGATGAGATTATTGTATGACATAACACAGTATATAGTGTAAGAAATACTCTAAAAGTGAGTATGAAGTGTACATCCGGAACCCTGGTGGGCGACAAATGGAGACAAATATACAGCGATGCCTGGACACGGCTGCAAACCTGAGATCTGCTCTGGAAGTGGAAGATTCTCTCTGTTGATAGTATTCTGTCTCTGTTCCGGCATTTTGAGGAGAACACACCCCCCCCCCCCCCCCCCCCCTTTTTACCCCCTTTCCCCATATCCCCATCAAATTGTATGTACGCTCTCTTGTGGTATCAACACATAAATGATTTCACAGTTAGCTGTCGTTTTTTTTTTTTTTTTTTGTGGGTCCCCGTCTGCGGACTGCGTTGTCAACAAGCGAACTCCTCGAAGTTGCCTAGAGTCGGGTGACGAGGTAACATGTTCGGCGTGAATCCGAGACTGTCCGAGTGACTCCGGAGTGTGTCGCAGGTGCTCTGGAAGAAAAGAGAAAACCACAGGGAGCGGGATGAAGAAGAAGCAGGAGGAGGAAGAGGAGAAGAGGAGGGAGGGGTTCAGAGAGTTTCAGCGAAGAAACAAAAAGAAAGAAAGAAAGGAGTGGATGGACAAGTGTGGAACGAAAACAGCCACAGCGAGACGTGACGAAGAAATATGCCATAAAAATAAAACGAGGGGAGGTGGGGAGAGATGAGAGGAAGAAGACAGACAGGAGAGAAGAGAGAGAAAGGATATTTTAGTCCTGATATTGTACTATTGTTAGAGCATTCTTAGAGCAATAGTGTTAGTTTGGGAAGAGAGTGTGTGTAAAAAAAGCCATAAGCACAGACAGTAGAGGAATAGTGGGCAGTGAGGTACCGCAACTCAAAATTATACCATTTAGATTTGATGTTTTGGAATATTCTCTGTGTCTATGTCCAGGCAGTGGTCATTCTCCCTTTTCAATGGTCAGAAATAGTGAACTCGAGTGGTTTTGCTTGTTTCTGGGCTTAAAGGTGCGTTCCTTGGCTGTCCTGGTGGTCTGCCTGTTTTGGTTTTCATCTAAATCTTGTTGTTTTGCCTGGATATGTATACAATAAGTACTTATATATGTGGCGGCTTGCAGTTTTGCAAGCAGTAAAATCCAGTCTACAAGTTTTAAACTAAACGATGCAACATTTAAACTAAAGCAGTAACATATCTATTGCAAGAAGTGGTTATCGGATCACTTCCCAAAAAGCAAGCACAGTTGAGCAATGCACCTTTCATTTCATTTTTTTTTTCTTAATATATTGGTGTAACACTAAAACACAGACTTCAGAGTTTGAATCTTGTAGTTATTCAAACGTTAACAGTGCTTTAACCTTCATGCAATCACCTTGTTTTCTAATGTTTTTAATACATCTTGACAGAAATTCTAATGTAATCTAATGTCATTGCTTTCCCCTTTAAATCCATCTGCTAGCCTTGGTTCAGTAGTATCGGATGTACTTGATTTGTGTTCAATTGATTTAAATGAGACGAGGTGATTTTCTGGATTTCTCTCCTCTCATGGAAACGCTCTGAGTCTGTGCCACCTGAGGGTATATCAATAGCAGGAAACCAGAGTACATATAGTGCTGTTGTGCAGTTCTCAATTTAGTATCATTTGCCATTATAGTGAATACTTGAATTCCTCGCTCAAAGAATGGTAAAGCAATCACATCTCAATGAAGACATGCCCTTGACTTGAAATAGTGCCTCCTCTTTAACTTAAAGGTATATAGGAGGATTTTTTACTTCCGGGTTGATCATCAAGACTATATTAGTCCTCCCAATTGTCAATCATTCTGGTGATACGTGCTCGTCAAATAAGACCAGAGAGTTTTGATCAAAAAGTGGAGAGGGCGGTTCTTTCCTCAAATTTACAATTAATATAATCAATACTTTAGATATTTTTATTTCTTTTACATAGTTTTATTTAAAATTTATAGAAATATCACGCATCACTTTGAGCCATCATAAATGACAATGAGACTATAATGTGAAATATATTGAAAATATATGGTGAAACAAGTATAAAGGGTAAATGATGCTGTCGACCAGCATTTGTTTTTTTTTGGTTTTTTATTTAAAAAATGACCAGTGCGTGCGACCAATTACAGAATGGCAATTGTTTCTCTGAATGTGTTTTAACAGTGGTACTGTAAAATGACGCCGTATTATTATTTGACTGAGACAGGAGCTTTTAGGCAGAGGGGGCAGAGTTTAGTTGTTAGTGCCAGAAATACCTGATATTAGCCTGGATGGATCTGAAATCTGTTATTTTTTTTGGGCATCTGCACTTTCTTTAACCACACAGACACAAGTCTAAAGACCTGATCAGCAGCCACATATCCTTCCACTGTCTGTGATTACGAGCGGTGTTAGCCAATTCGCAGCTTCAGCAAAATCCTGCATTGCAGCAATGTTAATAAGTGTATATATAAATGCATAGACTCTTAACCCTAATTCCAAGAATCCAACCAACTCGAGGCCACAAAATGCGATAGAGACAATCTATCCTGCCTGAGACGTGAAGAGCACAGTGCTGCACAGAAAATCCACCCTCTTTTTCTTTTCTTTTTTTCCTTCTTCATGTTGTATGAGATCGCTTTAAGAATGTCGGACAGAGAGGGACAGCGTGGAGGGAGGGGAGCGTCTTATCAATGGGGTGTGCTACCTGGGGGCATGATTAGGCGTGACACCAGGGCTGGTTGGGTTCTCTGGAAACTCCTGGAATAGACATGATGAAAAGAAAAAGATGGGTGAGGGTGACTGGAATGAAAATAAAGCACAATGCAATGCTAGTATCGAAGGGAGCAGGGAGGAAGAGCGAGGCAGACACATCATTACAGCTCCAAGGGGAAGTTCACGTCCACGGAGGAGGTGGAGGAAAGGAGATGGACCAATGGGAAATGACACACAAGAATGGCTAATGCACTATTTTTGTTGCCCATATCGTGGCATGGAATCATAAGGTGTTTTACTTTTTCATTTCCGATGCAGGTTGAAAAAAAAACAAAAGAAAATCCCAATATTTTGAAGCCATTATGGGGAGAGTTTTGTTGCCTAGAGAGTCCAGAAGAATGAAAACCTCCCTGTGTTTTATATGCAGTAGCGACATTGTTGGGGAATAACAAAAGACATCAGTACGTTTTTAGAATATTATTTTTGAGTAAGTGTTTCCATGGCTCTTTCACAATAATCATAGGAACACATTTTGGTATTTGAGCCATTTCTGTTTCAATCTGCATGATGTCACATACAAATAAAAATATAACAAAAACTTCACTTACACCCCTTTAACCCTGCGGTGCTGGTTCCAGGCTGGTTTAGGGCTGGTTGCGCCAAAATAACTAGTTTCAAAATAGTCAATCACTCGATTAATCGGTTGATGGTGTCTTGTTTTGATGGGAAAACAGCAAAACTTACCTAAAACCTTAAGTTTTTTTAATACTTACTTATATATTGAGTCCAGATCAAACTCTCAATTCAAGTTGGATTGGTCTCTTTTGATGGCAAAATATTCATATGAGTGATTTTATGGCAAAATAATGACTGTGATAGAGTCTGCCAAGTACAATTTAGATCACATAACTTCTTGCCACATACCCTTTTAGTTGAACAATCGATTGACAGGAAATGTCTTTAGTTGATTCAGAACATTTTGTAATTTCATAATCAACAATATTTTAAAGAAAGTGAAATGCATGTTCCACAAGAAGGAGGCCTAGGGCAGGGAGTGAGTTCAGTCTTAACCTGAAGATTTGAGAAAAGGGGTGGATTCTGCAGGGTCTGATAGAAAACCTGCAGCCACAGCGCCCCCTTGTGGACCGGTTTTGGACGCCTTTGCCTTAGTAATTCCCCTGGAGCTGGAGGGAGTGTGAGTGGATAGGGGAGGAAAATAGCTGGATGGAAAAATTCTAAAACAGTGCTTTTAATCTTTGCTTATGCATGTTTTCACTTTGATATTGTGCAAATCAATGAGAAACTATTCCAAGTATTCAGAATGCGGTACTCCGAATGCACCATGTAATACAATACATTACATAACACATTTTGCAGCCACTATTCAGAATTCTGTAACTACATTTGCAGTTTTCTCCCACAATAAATATCAGCCTCATCACTGCTTTGAGTTAGGTGTGACAGAAGGCGATTAGCTAAACAAGGACACGCATGATGGTCTGTATCCAAACAATTACTGCTGCTGCTTCACGAGGGGAAAATGATTACAAGGGGCAGAAAAACATCAAAGATTTTTCGCAGATTTAATGAACGGAGCACAAAGTTGAGGTAAGAGACATCTGACTTAAATTCAATCGGCCGGAGGCGCCTCAGATATGGATCTAAATACTGAGACACTGTATCATTCTGGACTTTCCAGGCAACAAACTTTGGATATGTGCCAAATATCTGTAGAAACGCTCTTTATCTTATTTAAAATCAATCAGTTTCTTTATTGTATCAAAGTGGTAGAAACAATTCATTATGTATTGTCATCAAAAACATAAGTGTTTGTAAATATTATTGTAGTTTTAATTACTTCTAAATTAGACACGGTATAGATATATTTTTATTTTATATTTTTATTTTGATTGAAAGATAAACTAAACAAAAGTATATATTTTGACCCGAATAACAATTAGTAGTTAATGAATGAAATATAAATGCATCAATAATGTTGTATTTTTGCGTGAGATTTATTATTATTATTTACTAAACCATGGTGAATTGAAGGCCACTGTAGTATCTGTGTTATATAATGTCATGCATTTAGAGATTCCGACTGGCAGGCTCTGAAAGATTCGCAGCCAGAGCTTTTACTGAAGGTTATAACAATATGCAGCAAATCTTGTCGTACTCATCGAATACGTCTTCTGGATATCAGCGAAGGCACTAACACCATCATGTTCCCAGATATCAGTGTTGGCCAGTACTCCAGCCAAAACACAGGTCCAGTGGTCACTGCTGCTGGGCCAGATTCAAGATTCAACTGTTTTAGTGATTCATAAACTACTAGATGTAATTTGTATGTATAAATATGTATTGTGCAGGTTCAATATAAATATAAAAACATATGTAAATGTAAATAAATAAATAAAATAAAAAATAGAATAAATGAAATAAATATAAATAATTAAATACAATACAAATTAATAAATGAAACAAACACAATAAATAGAATATATAAAAATAATAGAATAAAATAAATAAAATGGGACTAAAGATGAAAAATAGCCACTTTGATAATTCTGGCATATTTACAGAAATGTTCATAAATATGCACTGTCCCTGTAATAATTAAAAAATAAATAAAATAAAATAAATAAAACAAATAAAATAAACTAGTCTGCTAAAGTGCCAGATTGATGGACTCCCCTTCTCTATGTAACAGTATACTGTAAGTCCCAACAGTCAAAGTCAAAAACACAAATACCAAACAGTACAATATGTTGTAACAGAACGTTTTAGATACATTGACATTAAGTGGAGATATGGCTGTGATAAAACGTGGTTGTAAATATGCATATGACATGAAAGCACATATAAAAAAGTCGAAACATCCCTTTGGACATTTGCGTTGCGTGTTGGTAATGTCTATCTCCACTCTTCTTAACAGAATCAACATTTTCTTTTAAAACCAGTTAAACCTGAGGCAAGAGTTCATGCAAAAGATACAAAAACAGTTCATGCAGAAACAAACCCACAGCCTTTTCGCTGCTCCGAGCGTGCATGTCAAAAGGCTGGTTTATTTGATGGAAAAGCTAGGGTTGGTTTGATACGCGCAAAAAAATGAATTCAGCCAAAAGGGAAGTGTGGATTTGATTGACTCGATACACGCTAAGAAATGCTTTGTGAAATGGTTTGAACAAAACAGCACCAAAGAAGAAAATCTTTTCTAAAGAAGTCGTAATGCTTTGTCAGCTGCACCTGGGAACAAGCGCCGCAGTGATGCAAATGCACAATCGGGATTTTGCAAACTGGGTTTTTTTACTGAGAATTTACCCAGATTATGATAACAACATACAGTCTATTGTTTACATAGACAGCGAATATTTACCCTCCAAACAGTCAGTCCCCCAGAATGGAAGTAACAAGAAATCTGACAAAACGGCCAAGGTTTTTGACCGGATTTTAGTCAAAAACCTCAAGCGTTTTGTCAGATTTCTTGTTACTTCCATTCAAGGTTCCCCACGCTCTCTGTTCCTTTCAGACTGAGTGACACGGACCCTACACAACATAATAACAATCCACACAACAGCGAGGCCGTGAAAGGTGAACCGTAAAATAGCGAGGGACCACTGTACACGCTAGGCCAGGGGTCTCAAACCGGTTCCAGAAAGGGCCATGTGGCTGCAGGAGCAGGAGCACAGATGACTCCACTCATTTCCTCAAATCTTCAGGTTAAAACTGGACTCACCTGAGGAAATGGGTGGAGTAAAACCTGCAGTCAAATGACCCTTTCTGGAACCGGTTTGAGACCCCTGCACTAGGCTATATCAGCTAATACGCCTAAGATGGTTTTATCATAGGTAAATAAATTACACTGACATGAAGAGTGTAGGAAAGCATGTGTGTTTATCACGTTGCTCTGGTTGTTTGTTGGACTGTCCAAAAGAGCAAAGAAGCGTTGGTATTCCTGGTTTGGTTCAAACACGCCCCATAATCACAGCCCAATGGATCCGTTATAGACTCACTAACCAGAATCGTGAGGGTGATGTAGTCAGGCTACCGTTTCATAGCTTGCGATGGAATACTCTGCAGAATGACAGCACGACAAGCCATAGGGCCATGTAAGTCTCTCACTGTCAAAGTTTCACTCTAAAGTTGGAATATGTCTACAGTATATTTCTCCATGGGGATGATAAACTTTCTGATTCCTAGGTGCTCACTGCAGAAGACTAATTTTGTTTTTGGATTTTTGACTTGTTCCCGTCTTTTCCACGGTAAGAAGTTGACATGTGTCCAAACAACTCGCCGAGCTTTCACACAACTGTCCCTGGTCAACACCCCCCGTTTGTTCGCTGACTTTAATCCCAGGTCTGAAGCCAGAAAACATTTACAGTAATACATTCATTTCATCTGATAATCCACTTTTGGGTTCGGGGAAGATGGCAATCAGAGCTGCCACCCAATCTTCATAAATACATGTGTATATTATAGCGACAATACAGCCTTGGTCTTTCAGCGGGAGCTTCAGGCAGATTGGGGTTAAGCCTTGGATCTATTATATTACTGGATAGGGTATTACAAGCTTGGAGCTGAAGGACCCATGTGCTCGGAGGCATCTCGTGGTAGTGCAGACTAAACAAGACTAAATTCACGAGGGCTACCCAGAAGTTTTTCCCATAGAACTCAATGTAAACTAAAACAGCTCGACCTCAGCTGACAGAGAACCTACAGCTTTCATAAAGATCGGATTTTTTGTGGGGATTTTAGTGTCCCTTGTCGTCCTGAACTTTTTTTCTTCTTAAATCCTTCTGTTTTCTTTAAATCCACACATTAGTGCCAAAAACTCTGCTCGTTTTGGCTCCCGCTCTAACTCCCGCTCTAGCTCCGCTTTGATGAGCAGCGCTGATGTCAAAATATGAGCGAGTTCCGCTAATCTTTAGGTCCCTGTGGTGGCACATGCGCTACTGAACACAAACCATTCATTTGAATACGCCGCCATCTTGGATTGCCGGGGCTTGGGTTAAGCCTCTTGCCCAAGGACAACAACAACAACAGACGTCAGTGGGAGGAGATGGAGTAAGTCTCGTGGGGGAATTTGAACCCACGACTATCAGTCCTGAAGACCAATGCTCTACCCACTGAGCCACTGTCACCCTGACTAATCACCACTTCATACAAAAGCACGGTGTCTCTTTACTTCTTAAACGAAAGCCAGAAAAGGCACGGCGTTATTTGAACATTCTGCTGATTGAAGCTTTTTAGAAGTGCATGTGTGTAATAAATAATTGAAGGCTCTCAGTGTGATATTGGGGAATGGGCTGCGGGGCACAGAGCTCAGCCGCACCTCTCCTCCAACACTGTTTTATCCACAGACTTTAGCTGTGATTTACTGTGTGCGAAAGTCATGTCTAACTCTGAATTTAACTGGAGACAGCAAAAGTGGTCTGTGGAAAAATGTGTTTATAAAACGCAGAGAGCTCATTAATCTTTACGGCTGTTTGCTTATTATGTTGTTACTTGAATCTCAATTAGATTAGTCCTCTCCTCTCTGTGTTTTGTGATGCGCTGAGAGGCCGGAGCAGAAGATGGGGGTCGTCACCTCGATGCGTAAAGGCGACATTTGACTTGTGATTAAGGATGAGAATAATTGGGGGTCAACTGGATGGATCATGCTTCGTGCATAACGGATTTATGAACCAAAACAAGAGCAGAAAGAGGTGCCTAACGAGATTCCACTCTCCATGTAGGGAAATCATTTGAGAGAGAGATAAGCCATGCGGTGAGTTCTTAAAGCTTAACGTACTTTACTTTGAAAGCACAATGAAATAACTATTAAGCTCCATGCTCTCAAAAATGTTTGCTTATAGTTCACGTAAATATGTGTCTTTTTTTACATTTGTGGTCTATATTTGTTCATTTCAGGTAAACACAGGAACAACACACTTGTTTAATAGTATAAAAAACATACTTTTGCCCTAAAAGGGAGTGGGAAGAAGAGAACTTATTTAATCCCACCCCATTTTCCATTTACACATTAGCTTCTCTGCTACTGCAAACTTAAAAGTCTATGAAAAAGAATACCCAGAGATGCTTTCTAATAAGAAGAAGAAGGCATGTCGTGGTCTGATTTGTTTACTTTGTTTTAATGTTACTTAAACTAGAATCTTTCTGTTGGGACAAAGTAAACATAATTTATTAAACAATATAAGTATAAACATAAACAAAGCATATACAAATAAGTATGTAATGTACTGTACGTCTAATTCTCAATTTACTGAATGTGAAGAGACCAGAGTCAGGAATAAACGTGAGGAGAAAGAGTTCCACTAATGCAGCAAGAATCTACCACAGTCTGGTTATTTATTCATTTGTTTATGATCTTAATTTTTACTTTCAATTATCATCTTTTGGAGGCATCTATTTTGTTTGTAATTTGTTTGTAATTTGTTTAAATCTATAATTAAAAATGTTAATAAATCTAAAAAAAATGTTTACTTTGTGTCTGTATGAATTATGCAATACAAATAAACTTGCCTGACTTAAAATCTGTGGATTTTCAACCTGCAAACGTTGGGGCTAGCTTTTGGTTTGTTGCTAGTTTTTACATTCACTGTTGTTTGGCCTTTACTTTAGATCTGCATTTACTGATCAGAAAGTACAGAATACTAAATAGTTCACATATTGATGCTTTTACACCAGATATTTCTATAGAAATAAAGAAAATGTATTATTTATGAAACACAAAAGTGATGTACCCACTGTTGACTATGTCACATAAACTATACATATATATATCTATATATACTGTATATATATACATCATAGGTTTATGTAACATATACAGTATGTCATATATACATAGAGTATATACAGTAGTACATTCTCTTTGGTGCTGTTGAAACCATTCATCAGTGTGAGTGAGCAGAGGCTGTAATTGTGCCACATTCACAATCAGTGCACATTCAGAGGGGAAGTTACCAGATTGTCACTCTGACAACGCTGTGGACGCTTCTTCCGCAGAACCGAGCCCAGGAGCTTATCCTTGAACACCTGCAGAGAGAAAGATGTCAAATATATACAGAGGTAACGGCTCTGAGATGTGTCCAGGTGGGATCAGTCTCGTCCTGAGGCTGTTGCAGAGGGTTGACTGGTTTCAGCCTCTTGTCTTTGCCGTAATGAGACGAATGATGGCGCCAGGAGCACTGTGTGGAGGACAGACTGATGTCCTCAGCACAGAGTGAGTGGTGTAGGGTCAGAGAGTGTCTGGGCCTGCGTCCAACCCACACTGTCTATTACATGTTCTGTATTCTGTTCATTGTTTATATTGTCTTTCAGAATCAGAATCCTTTTTGTTGCCACATAAGTAACAGGAAGTCACAGACTAGGAAATTGCTTTGGCTCTGTGCAACACTCAGAGAAGAGAGGTAAAGAATAGAGTAAGGCATGATAAAAAATCAAATCAGCATACACTTCTAATTTGAAATATACTACTACTACTACTACAAATGACCTAATGGCAATGTACAAGTAAAATAATTGACTAACCCTAACAAAAAAAGGATATTTATCTGAGACATTATAATCATTGCCTTTAAAACTCTTTCACCATCGTAGAAATCGGAGAATATGACAACTTAGAAGCATGGCTAACCACTTTAAAGTTGTCACAATCTGCAAAGTGACTAGTCAAGTCAGGAGTAGAAGTATAGTATAAACAACTATTGTAATGTTTATCTTCAGAAGATCAAATATGTGTACAAATATAATAAATGTTTGTTTAAATATATATCTCTTTTCATATACAGTAGTAGTGCTGCTTGCTGGGACTGTATAACTCCTCAAAACACGCAACTCACAAGGGTTCAAACTAAACTTAACTTAAATTGTGTGAGATTGGCTCTTGTTCTATCCCCACAATTTTTATCTTATTTCATTTATTATTTTTAAAGAAATATATTACTATCCTCTCCTTCCTATTTTAGCTGTCTGCATTATTAGGATTTTGACTGCAGTCTGTTCATCGCTATGACATTTATCAACATGTGTTCTAAATTCTTTTTTGTGTCTTAACTGTTGATTCTCTGATCTGTGTTGGTGATTTCAATTGTTTTGTTAAGTCCTCTGAGACAGAATCTGTTTTGATTTGGGGCTATACAAGATTTGTATTGTATTGTATTGTCTTTGTAATACATGTCATCAATAGTACGTGTGCATATGTGTCCCCGAAAGCTTTACCTCATACAAGTAATCAAATATCTCCAGAATCGTCAGCACACTGGCTCCGATGAAGAGTCCCATTTGCCCTCCGATGTCCCCTGGAACAAAGAGATGGCGAGATAACGGTTCACTGATGGAGCCGTGGCGTTTGAAAGCATTCTTGTGGCTGTCGTCTGCTATCGCCGCCATTAATCACGGCGGAGTTATCACAAATGTCCATCGCACGCACACTTTTCTCAAACACCTGACCTGCCTCTGTCCTTTCGTCCGATTATGAGAATGTCGTAGGCGTTGTGTGGATCGGTGTTAGTGACCAATCGTTGTCAGGGTCGCACAAAACGGCAACCGGCGATTTTTTTATCCGCTGAGCAACTTCAGAGTCTAGTGATTGGGAAGGAACGCAGTGCTCCGGATTATGCACCGATGCGAGTGAAAGGACTTGAAAGAAGCCATTTTTCCCCTCTCAAATCACAGTTTCAATAAAAAGAGGTAATATGGTCACATTTATAGAGCACTTTTCCCCCGTTTAAGGCACTTAAAGCACTTTACATCAGGGAGGAATAGGCTGCTTTTGAAACTTGCTTTGTGATGGATTGCTCCTGGACGAATGAGATATTAATTGTCTTCAACCTCACGATATAACTAAATGTATGTGTTTTAATTGTTATTTGAGCAACTGCTATTAGACTACTACTCATTGACCATTTACCCTTTAGGTGCTTGTCTTTTTTTCTTTAGAAATGTGACAATATTTGGAGGCCGGAACATACTATGAGAGATAGAGAACTACTTAGATTAAAAGTAATAGAAATTAATAATATAAAAATATGTGGGAAAAACGAAGGGAAACATTTGTCGAAAGCCAGGTGTCTGTATAGAAAGTCTTCTGGAGGCAGTAGCTCACTGAAAGGGTTGACAAGGGTGCCTAAACTTTTTAATGGACACATACATTCAGCAGAATTGTCCAGGGGCCGTCAACACATATTTCAAAACAGCTTTGAGTGGATTCAGGCTGTTCCGAGCTTTAAAATGAGGTATGACATATTCATATCTATTCATTTTTGACATTGCTGAGGTTGGCTGAATGACAAATGTTTACTACATCAGCGCCACAGACGAAATGTTGGGACACAATCAAAAACAACAGTATAGGCTGCTTTTGTAGTGGCCGCCAGATGAATTCTGCGGATTTGGAAGAGCCCTCACGGACCCAAAGTCGACGATTGGATAAGACTGATCAGCAGGGACTGGTGCGATGAACATTGGGTGGCAGCTCTGACTGTCGCCCCCCCCCCGACCCAGAAATGGACTATTAAAGGGGTAGAAAATGAATGAATGATCATAATGCCCAGAGTAAAGCCTGTAAAATTTGGATACATTTCATTTCATTAATCAAGAAACATGATTCTGCTGTCATAAATACACCCTGAGTGTGCATCATTTGTCTGTTTTTTTGTTTGAGTGTCTGCTGACAGACGCCGTGTTGCTGAAAGCCACGTTGTCAATTTGTTGTGACAAAGTGGCCGGACTACTTGAGGAGTAATCTACACACCTGAATTACAAGCAGAGATTGCAGTTGCCATGGACAGCGGCCGTTGTTGGTTTGTCCGTTATCAAGAAATAAGGACCAGTAGAACGCTTTGGAAATTACATAGAAATCAATGGAGCGTTCTATTCCTGCCATATAATAAATACAAATAACTGGACTGGAAGTTGGCTGGATGACACTGTAAACAGTTTATGATTTCAGTGGTGCACAGAGTTTACGAGGGCCTCAGAAAATGACACTGAGGGCTGCAAACGGCCCGCGAGCCGGACATTAGACATTTATTAGATCCATTTAAAAGCCCCAACCTGTATCATAGAACCGACACACCGATCCGACACATTTTCCGGGTAACTGCTGGACAACTTTGATAACCGTATCTGTGCATCATCTGTACTTACAATCAGAATGTCTTACCGAGAAGCCCTGCAATTTCATAGGCTTTCTTCTGCTCAATCTTCTCATAATTCAGCGCCTCAAAGAAGATGTCCAGGACTAGTATATTATCTCTGGAAATGAGAAATACCAACAAGCTTTTAGATTACAACATAGAACTTTTTCACCGTCTTTACCGTTACTTTGAAGGTGAACGATGGAGACTGAAGACCATGCTATCATACCTTACTCAGAATACTAACTACTAAACAGACAGGAGTGCACAGAGTCAGTAAAGAAGAAATCCATTAGCGCAGAATCCCCCCACACCACATTAATTATGCGTATAATGCAGTAAAGTTTCATTCTGTCTAAGCTTTTTGCGCTGTTGAGGAAAGCCTCCTCGTGTGCAGTAGACGAGCTCTCCAAGTCCTCTAACGTGAAGCATTCATTTGTCATCTATGGAAGTGACACAGAGGACCATCAATGCATCAAGTAAATTATGATGTTTTTATTTTTAATGCACCGCTGTTCACTGGTTAATCATAGTTTTATTCAATCCTCAGACTTTTCTAACAGGACGACTTGGCTCTGGCGCTGACTCATTCTAATTTTTGTATAATTTTTGTTGTTGTTATTAAATATGTAACTTTTCTTGGTCAGGTTGCTCGTAGGCTATGCACATATATCATATACTCTTACACTCACCAATAATCTGTCTTTCACTGTGACAAATAGTCATTATAATTACTTTACTTTATTATTATTATATTACTTGCACTAAAATACACAGTACTTTATACCTGCTTCTGTTTATGCCAAAGGTAGAGATTATATACATCTTTATTATGTTAAAGTCAGATATTTGTGCTCATTATGGTAAAAGATAGAGATTTTATATTTGTTTCTTCTTCATGCTAGAGTTAGAGATTTATTTTATTTGATTTAGTATAGAGTTATTGTTCATTTATCTTGGAATTTCCCCACTGTAGGACGTATGAAGGATCTCTTAGTCTTATAACATTTCCAAATCATGCCTGCTGAAGGAATATATTCACAAGGAAAGGGGCTGGGTGTGGTTCAGTGACGATGGAAACTGGGAAAATCATAGTAGAGTAGTAACTTGAAAGCAGGTGAAGATTGTTTAAATGAGACTGTGGAACAATTATGGCATATTGTTAAACCAGACGTGAAAACTAGTCGGTGGTTGGAAAAGAAGCGACTGAAGTTTAATCAAAATTTAAACTAATTTGTCTTATCAATAAAGACAACACTAATAACACTTTTTTGGACAAACAGTCATTTTATACATACATATTTACATTAAGTGTCATTTTGTTTGTGATCATTTTTAGCATCAATACTTCTTCAATAGAGAATCAAGTTTTATCGGTTATTATCTGATTTTTGATACTCCCTAAAACAAGTTACCAGTTTTTCTATTGGACTGGAAAAGAGCTCATTTATCGCTCACACATTTTTGAGCAGTACATACGAGCCTTAAAGCTGGGGTACCTAACTGTGATCGTTTCATAAATAGCTTCGGCCAACAGAGATTTGTAAACCTTTTGTGAACAAATCTGGCTTAATCTTAAAAGAAAAGGTTATATTTTGCATACAAGAGAAGAGCCCCTATTTGCCACTTAGGGCTGAGAGCTGATTGGCTGAGTGAGGGTGGTCCAGTCTTTGTCCACTATTCTGCCTGAAAAAGCTAAAGATGGGACAGAGGACTAGAAAACAGCCATAGTGATATTACCGTTTTGAGGAGCATTTAAACCAATGGAATTCTGAAAAACTGCCCCAAAAATGTGTAGTTTTTCGACAGATGTGACTGCCATTGACGTATTTGTCTGAGAACCTCTATTCCACTGGGGATTACAGGACAATACAAATAGCTTGAAACAAACTTATTTTTGCTGAGGAAAGTAGTCAATCCAGTCTTTCAGAATCTGGTTTCATATTTCACATAGTCTTTGGAAATAATATTCTGTGGGTCTTGAGAATCAGTGAAATCATTAAAAACGGCTGGCAGTCAGGAGTGAGAAATTAAAACTAAAACTGATCAAAAATTAGGAACCCCAGCTTTAAATCTATAGTCTATTAAGCTGAATACTTACCCAATGTACTGCTCAGTTTTGTTGAATTTCTTAGCCAGATATTTAGCGGACGCCTTACTGGGGATCTTTACCATGGACAGCTCCTTGCCATAGCGGGTCATGTTGCAGGGCGTCTCACACACACAGTAATCGTTGTCTTTCTCAACCAAAAAGTCTGTGGAGGATCAAAGTCATTCAAAAAAAAAAAGAAAAAAGAAAGAAAAGAAATAGCGCCACATCGAAACTCGGCTAAATGAAAACACCACAAGCAAAACTACATTCGCTGCCATCGTTCACTTTCCATGACTACAGTTGAAGACCAAACTACGGCACGTATTCAAAAGCGGCGAAGCGCGAGAAAACATCACAAATCTTCCAAATGTTTCATCATGCAGGTTTATTATTCTCGCCCTGGCTTGGTCCCAGAATTTAGAGTTAATGAGACGGAAACAGCATCGTAAAAGAAGAAAGAAATCGCGTTGTTAAGACCTCTAGACATCTCCATTCAAATCTATTGAATGGAGATGTCTGGAGGAGAAATTAGAATTTAAAAAAAGGGTGTGTGCGGGGAAGTTACCTAAAGCAGGGTCGGCACAGTCCTTGTACTGCTCCGGAGTGCACACTGTGGATGTACCTGTTTAAAACAATAGTTAAAAGTCACAACACGAGAAAGTCATCCGCACGTACAGCAAAAACAAGACGCGGATACGGTATGTGGCGCCCGAGGGAAATACGGTGAGATGAGAAGACGGATAAAACCTAATCTCAGGGGTTGGCCCTTAAAAAAAACTTAATATAAGGGAACTGGATTTGAACCCACGCGGGATGTTACTGTGGGTTATGATAAAGTGTCAGCATTGTATACTTTGTAGGTTCAGAATTATTATGAATGGACTGACTAAGCCCACCCACTCACATTTATGAATCATCTAATCGTCTTCTCTTATTCATTGTTGGATGCAGATTACATTTTTGTTTTCCTTCTTCAAACACAGTCATTAGTCAAATATCAGACGTGATTACTTTATGACGAAGGCGCAATAATAAAGTAAATGTCAGGTTTTTCATTGTATTGAGAGAGATATATTTCAGGGCAGGCAACAGTGACACGCTCATTGCTCTCTTGATTTAATGAAAAATCTCCCCAATGCCTTAAAGGTGAATTCCACTATTTTTTTATTCCTGGAATCTTTTACAGTATAGAGTTTAACCCTTTAGGTGCCAACTTAGCCAAATTGAAAAATGACTCCAGGGCAATTTCTGTTCTATTCTCTATACTAAACACTTTTCATATTATTAATTTGCTTATTCTTATTTTAACCCTTGTGCTATCCTCTGGTCAAATTTACCCACCACAGTGCTTCAAAAATACCCTAAATAAAACATTTTAAGCTGAATTTGTATGATATTACCAACTTTGACCGACCCTGAGTCATTTATACCCTTATAGATCCTAATTTAGATATTTTTTTTCTACTTTTAATAATCAATGGTGGCTAATTTTGACCCAATGGTAGGACAAGTAGTGCTATCTCTTATAAAGAGTTGGTAGAGCATTGGCCTTTGAGCCTGAAGGTCATGGGTTTGAGCCCACCGTAAGACCTACTTCACGACTCCCACTGATGACTGCTGTCGTTGTGTCCTTGGGCAAGACACTTAACCCCACTTTGCCTGAAGCTCCCACTGAAAGATCTCAGCTCCTGTGGACTCACCACCTGCAGGAGGATCAGTGAGGGGCTGGTGCTGTGTACTGGGTGGCATCTCTGGCCACCCCCCCGACCCAGAAATGGATTAAGGGGAAGAAAATGGATGGATGGATGGATGGAAAACCCACTCACTGCACCTAAAGAGTTTACTAGATTTGAGACGAGCAGGTGACATCACTCGACTAAGTTACAGCTCTGTATTACATCTGTATTCATCTTTCTGCGCAGTAAAACCACCTCTCACATCATAAATATTAAACAAAAGTATTATATAATTGCGTAACCATCTTGCGTCCCATCTGAAAAGTTGCAATGCAGCTTTTAGTATTCTTCAATCGAACTATTCTATCTTACGCCAAGTGGAGGCCAGGTCTTTAAAAGCACATAAGCTATTTTTAATGTGAAAAAAAAATGAAAAAAAGTGGATATTTATAAATGTTTGACCAGTGTCTGTATGAGTGGTCAGCGTGGTGCCTTTCAGACTTTCCACTACAGTGTCTTTTGGATGCTCAAAGATATGATCAATAGTTTGCAAGGTTTTCTCTGCTGTTGAGAGAGAGAGGAGACACAACCATGATCAAAAGTAAAAGCCCCACGCTGCTCACTCTACAGCTGCAGTCACTACAAGGTCAAATACACACAAACATCTTTTATTCCACATAAAAGTTGCATATTGCACTTTTAACATATAACAGAGACTAATGGTGTAATTTTATGGATCTTTATGGACACTGATTATCCGCCCCTTATAGACCAATGGCTCTATGTGTTTTTGATCACTGCATTTCCTCTATTTGAACTTTTTGATTCTCTGATCTATGTCAGCGAGTTGTAGTCCTCCTTACAGGGGGGGTAAGGTTTTCACTTCCTCCCACTCCTTCTTGAGTTTTAAAAATTTACAATATTATAGGTAAAGCAAAGGAAGATTTCTCAAGGTTTCTCACCCAATATTATAGGTAATTGTTAATGAATAGAATTTCTATGTAGTGACATCTCGATATAAATACAGATTACAGACTCAACTCAAAAAACTCATAAAAACTATTGTGATTTGTGGCTGTACGATAAGGATTAGATTTGAATTTTCAGCTCAAATCATTTCAGTCATGAACTTCATCGTACGTACACCCAAACACCACAAAGCCTGTGTCCCCATCCCCTACCCGGCATGTGCACCATCCTGCAGTTGCAGTTCTCTAGCAGGTAGCGGGTCTCACAGTCGATGCGACACCCTGTGATGCTGTAGGTGGTGAAGAACTCGGAGTCTATGGGGGTCGACTTACAGTCCCCCCAGGGCGGCGGGAGGTACAGCAGCTGAAAGAGCCCACAGCAGACGGCCTCCTCTTAGTGAATAAGCAATGTTTCTGCAATCTCCACACATTACATTGGTTATACAAGAGATGACAGCAAGACCACAACAAGAAAAGTTTTACACAAGAAAAAACATGATATCAAAAGTGCACTTGGGTCCCGGTGTTGTTGTGCAGCAGCAGGCATCATGCACAACATTACTGATGCAGGTCTAGACCCTGGTAAGCAGAATACCATGGGAGTAGAGACAGGCTCAACAGAAATCTTGAAATACACACTTCAGACAGGACCCCACAAGAAATAGACACATTTTACAAGCTCTTTAGTTCGCACAGACTCTCACGAAAAGTAACATCTACCTATCTGTTGCTCTGCTCAGTGAACGGAGAAAAACAAATCTGTTATGTAGTAGCACAAGTGCTGCATTAAGATTTCCATAAAACTCGTGGGAGTAATTTTTAAAAATCCAGACCGCGAAGCCCAGTAAATTAGTTTGCAGTGCAGCCACACAGTCTCATTAGAGGGAGCAGTCATTAGAAGGTGAGGCGCAGGTCGTCATGTTTATGAAGAACTTGGGAATGTTTCATACATTCACTAATGAGGGTGTTTAATGGGTGAGTTTCACAGGTTTGGCTTTATCAGGCTCTCGATGCTCACATTAGATTCACAGTTAAACGCCCTGTGTGTATACCCGAAAACGGGCCTAAAACGGGCCTTAACAATATCTACAAATCTGTTTAATGAGTCGCTTGGGCCTTTATTAACACAATTGTCATGCTGTAAGGCTTATTCATTGTAAAGTGAAACTAAGCATAAATGAGAAACACTGATGGTGCCACAAAGAGAACATTAGATAAACACTGATCTCCCTAAAATCCTCCTGTTATGGTTTATGGCTTGTGCTGATCTGTACATCTAGAGAGTGAACGTGTATTCATTCTGCTCATTTCGATGCCAAAAGCGTAGTATCTTTAAGCACCAGGCTTCAATCAATATTAAAGTCGTGTTTCCCAGACAAACATTCACAAAGCAACTGTGAGAAGTGCACTACGGTTTTCCATCAGCACTGCCAGCTAAGCAGCCTCAGTCTGACAATCTAAAACTCATTTAGTCAATGGGAAGTGACAGCAATAGAGAGTCGTTCACAGCAAAGTGGACTAAAACTGGCCAACGTGATAAAGTCCTTATTGAACTGCTGCTGGTGGGTGTGGGGGGGCGAACGGTGTTTCTGAGCACTACACGATAAAGCTGTGGTAATCTCACTGCAGGTCAAATTAAGAAGCCGTGCTGTGAACAATAGCATGATGAACAGAACTCAGGGATGTCCTGATACACCTTTACAGACTCTTTTTGGTGTTTACAGCCTATGTGCAATAATTAATCATGACCCAGGGACTGACCGGTTTATCCATTTGCTGATTACATTTTGAAGTCGAGCAAGAAATTGTAATCAACATTTGTTTCTTTATCATTGTATGTTACATTCTCCAGTCAGCACAATTTCCTTTTTGGATCAATAAAATATATATCTAACTATCTAACAAACTAATTTGATCAAACTTTACCCACTATAGAGGCATATGCCTCATTCTAAGGCTCAGCATCTGCAGAAATCATCTATTATTGATATTGATAAATTCTGCAGCAGCCACTGAGGTCATGAACATAAGTTCACAATGTCATCCATTTATCTGAATGTATTTACTGCATGGAGACAATCTCTGAGACATTATGTATGTTTATTTGTATGAATAATAGTTATACATTCATACATACATATTTCTATGAAGAGTTATACATTATTTACTTGACATTTTCCAAATGTTTCTCTATAAATAGGACAGAAATGGGTAAACATCTGTATTACTGTATTGCCTCCAAATAAGTTCAAATCTGCAGGTCTCTCTGTAACTCACTATGTGGCAGATGTAAATATAGTACAATGTTTGCCACACATGTTGCTGACAACATTTGTCATACATCTATAATCTATTTCCTTCATAAATCTTAATGAAGAGATTGAAGTAACAAGTGACTGCAGACTATAACAGATATGACTAATATTACTTACTGCACAGTATCTGGACACCCCTTTTCAGAGAGTTAACAAAGCACACGGATATGACAGCTATATGAACACACAGATTCATGTTCAGACGACTCTGACGCAGACACCACTGCAGACGTACAGTATTATGGCCGAGTGACGGTCCAATGTGTGTGAGGCTCCAGGGCACAAAGACAGTGGACAATGAGAAGCATCAGTCACGACATGCAGCAGGCCCACACTCATACACTACCCTCTGCTCTTGGGTGGAGACAAATGTTTGGAAGCCCGGGGCCACTCCAAAGCCCAGCTCGTGGAGGAAGGCCGGCTCAGACTGAGAGTGCAGCTGGACCTTTATCCCGGCCTCATATGACGTCTCATCTACGGCAAGAGCGAGGAACACAGCCCACAACATAAGCAAAATAAATGCATCCTCGCAGACTGCAAACACCGCTCCCAATGGCGCCCTAAATGTTATACAGATACTAAAGCGCAGGCAAAAATCTGTAGTGGAACAATTTACAAATAAGAACAGAGCTGCAGTAATGTCTCAACAATAAAAGACAATTATTCTCTAAACGGCTGGATATAAAATCTGGACTTTGGTCTAGCTGCAGTAGTGACATTTAAGCTTTTCTTTTTTTTAACCATATTCGCCCTTTACAACAAACGGTATGAACTTTGTACTAAAATGTTGAACGTGGAAAGGAAGCAAGCGTCTATAAAGAAATGTGAACTTATCCATCTGTGGAGAATGAAAGAAGAACGCATGCAAATGTTGTAAATATGTTTAACAATACTATTCTTATATCGATTGGAAATTAACCCTAATGTTAACTTGTTTTAATTCAGCCATTTCTGATGAATCACTGTTCGTTCTGTGTAGGGAATGAAAAGATTCTAAGGTTAAACTACAGTCGTGATTACTCAGGTCACCGTACACAATAAAACAAACTGAAGAATAGTAATTGTGATCATTAGTCTTATTTGGAGTCTTGGATTGGATTCTCATTAGTAAGTAAGAAGTTTGCTCCATATTCACATTCTTTCTTTTTCTACTCAAATCAACATAATTATACCAACTTCAACCACTTTAAAGGAGACATATTATGCAAAATGAACTTTTTTTATATCTACCAAGGCAAATATAAGGAACTTTTGCCACAAACATGTAACTCCCCTAACTCCTCTCCTGTCACCAGATCTCCTGTCTCAGTCCTGTAATAGTATGATGTCATTGTGCCACTATGACATCAGCCCCAGTGCAGTTATCTGCCTTTAAAACAAAAGTATTGCCCATATTTTAGTGTTGAGCACTTTCTCAATTGGAATTACGATCTTTGCAATTGCATGGCTGTGTTTGCAGCTGGTCATTTTCAAATAAAAAATTAAAATAAACAATAAAAAAAATCTAAAAATACACTCCCTCTGGTGGTAGCGTAAGGATAGGGCAAGCTGATTATTTAACCTTGATACTTGTTTGACCAAATATTTTCTACTTCAGATACGAAACTACGTAATTTCTGTTGTGTTGCATGTTTTAGAATGTAAAATAATGTATATTTTACATTCTAAAACATGCAACACAACAGAAATTACGTAGTTTCGTTATCTTTATTAATGGCCAAAAATAATGCATAATATTTCTTCTTTAAGAGCCTTCTCCATTGTAAGATCACTAAAGTCTATCTTATCTTGGAGAAAGTATTGTACAGATGGTAGAGAACCAAAAGCACAATTTTTAGTCAATAATCTGATTTTTTTTCTTTAGAACAATGTGTTTTTTCTTGCAATAATTGTGACTCTTAAATTTGAAATGGTGCCCTCGCTAGTTCTGTGCTAATATGAAAATCTGGGTTGAAGGACCCTCCCTGGGCACACACACAAGTCAACTTTGCCAATTCATAATTTAACTCCAGCAAATGGGATGACTTGACATCCTAAGTGCTTTACTCAGCTGTCTATTGGATAATATTGAATCAGGAACTCACCAGAGACGGACTGAAATAAATGTGAGAGCAGAACATAATGACAGCATAATTAATTCAGGCCTGCTTTCACGTTGTAAACATGTCTTATGGCTGTCATGGCCGCTCAAGTCTGCATTCTAGATGATGAAGCACGCTGTCATCAAACTTTGCGACAATGATTCATTTGGCAAATTTCAAAAAACCACTGAATGCGTTTGAGAGAGCTGTTGATTTCAGAATAAGACCTTTCGAAAAACAGTAAAAGTTGCCATCTCTGTGGTGTCCAAGTGTTTTCACAAACTCCATTTTCCCATGTTATTTTGCTATAATGGATGAGAATGAGTCATCACAAGCCAAAAAAACGACAAAAAAAGGGGGGGAGATAATTTAGCTTGTTCCGATGAAGTGACCAAAGCCATTAACTGTAGGAGCAAAAATCATTAAAATTAGGCTTGATTAATAACTAAAGTAATGACTGTGATATACTGTCGCCGTATCCGTGGCTTCCCGACTTCGCAAGGGCTGATACTGCAGTGGGAATTTTTAATGAGCCTCCAGGCAACACAGCACCCAGCCATGTGTCGTAACTGCTAAGGTCTTTGTTCAGCTTCTGCTCTGTTCTTTTTCTTTCTTTTTTGAAGGAATATCACATGAACCATGATTTTTTTTATCTGAGAATATAACCATCAATGCAAAAGGTCGTGTATTTTAGATCACGAGAGAACTGACAAGTGAAACACGATCTAGTAGATGGCATTTGAACGTGTGGTTGTCAGTGCAGACGTAACTACAAGCACGCTTCAAACGGTTTTATCAATGGTTTAAAAAAGAAACAGGAAGACGACTAGGTTTACAAAGAATGAGTGAAAACCTGATCCCTCTCTTACGGAAATTTCATTTTATTTGAGGTGCGATAAACTAGTTTGTTTGCCGTAGTGTGCTTGTTAAACAGAATTCATATCTGCAGTTCATCTAGAGTGATCATGGGCCTCTTGGCTGCATCTCTGATCAGTCTTCTCCTTGTTTGAGATGAAAGTTTGGAGGGACGGCCGGGTCTTGGTAGATTTGCAGTGGTCTGATACTCCTTCCATTTCAATATAATTGCTTGCACAGTGCTCCTTGAGATGTTTAAAGCTTGGGAAATCTTTTTTTATCCAAATCCGGCTTTAAACTTCTCCACAACAGTATCTCGGACCTGCCTGGTGTGTTCCTTTGTCTTCATGGTTCTCTCTGTGCTTTAAACAGAACCCTGAGACTATCAAAGAGCAGGTGCATTTATACGGAGACTTGATTACACACAGGTGCATTCTATTTATCATCATCAGTCATTTAGGACAACATTGGATCATTCAAAGATCCTCACTGAACTTCTGGACTGAGTTTGCTGCACTGAAAGTAAAGGGGCCAAATAATATTGCACGCCTCACTTTTCAGTTTTTTATTTGTTAAAAAAGTTTAAATTATCCAACAAATTTCATTCCACTTCACGATTGTGTCCCACTTGTTGTTGATTCATGACAAAAAATTTAATTTTTATATCTTTATGTTTGAAGCCTGAAATATGGCAAAATGTTGAAAGGTTCAAGGGGGCCGAATACTTTCGCAAGGCACTGTATATGTATAACAGCTCATGGTAGCGCAAAGGTCCTGGGGCCACGAAGAAATGTGAATCGTGCCGCATTTTGGCCCCGGGCCGCACTTTGGCCAGGTCTGCTCTGGACTACAGTCACCTCATGATTTGAATGCCTTGTAATGTGTCTTCTCTTGTTCTGTTAAGCACTTTGAGTTGTCTTGTATGAACACCACATTTGCCATATAGTCCTACGCTCAATAGTTCTGTACTTTCTCTCATGGCGTCTGGGGGAGAAAGATTAGTCCTGAAAACTAAACTAAAATGTTTGAACTGATCAAATCTGACTAACGCTCAAGTGTTTACAGGCCGCTATATAATCTCCACAGTTCAGTGAAGATGGAACTCACATTGAATATTGAAGTGCCGTGTACTTGCAGCTTTCCTCCTGAGATGGGAGACTATAAACAGCTCTCGCTAAGATAAGTGGCAAAAGGTTTATTTGTTTGTTAGCAGCGCTTCAAACAGCTCTTCTGCTTTTGTTTAGTCGTAAATCCTGTCTCCTGTTGTTTTCCTAAACTCTCCAAAAGCGTCGGAGTCTGTTATGACCAGTGTTGGGTAGAATGCTCTGAAAATGTATTCCACATCAGAATATTGAAAACAGTAAATGACCTAAAATGTTTTTTTTGAGTATTCTGTTACTTTGGAAAATCTGTACTAACACTTTTTACCTAATTTTACTTTTAATGATTATTTTTGTGTTATTTATATTTATTGTAACTTGTATGTTGTTTATTACATCACAAAACCTATAAAGGTAAATTTCTAAACATTTAAAACCACAACCTCAATAAATGTTTGAATAAATGAAAAAAAGTTCTGTAATTAATTGATAATTTGTCAAACAAGTCAAAGTGCTTCAACAGCTGAATTTAACAACCAGAAAAATAGAATCTACATTTAAAGAATAGTTTTTTCTTTGCTTTATTTTTTTAATTTAAAATGTGTGAGAATAATGTGAGAAAGTATGTATTCCCGTGATTTTTCTAAATACTAGATTTTAAAGTATTAATTGTAAGGCAATACAGGCAGCAAGAGTATTCTGAACACATAATGGGATTACATGTATCCCGTAACTCCCCAACACTGATTATAACCGCTCTAGTGGCCAGCGCTGGACAATACTTTTCAAGCTCGTGAGAAATTGCTAGTGCACTACTTTTTCCCCCTTGTTTTGACATTTTGACAGCACTAAACATGGCGTGACCCTTTAATAGTTCACTAAACAGGGAATAGTGTGGGTTCCAGCTTCTCACAGCGTCTACACTGTTCTAAAATACAAAATGGAGAGTGCGTTGCTCTGTGTATTGAACTCGCACATATGGCTGCCGATCAATTCAAAATGATTTTTCCATCTCGATTTAAACGCAGCGGGGAGAGAAGCCTGGGAATAAGAAGTATATACACAGCCAGCCGCGGGCTCTGCAGCTTCTTTCGTTATTACAAACTCAAACTTTTGACTGCGTCTCTTAATCATTGTGGATTTTCCTTCAAAAATAGCTGCAGGTGCCTCTCAAATTGTCATGAATTTCTATGGGAGCCGCTGCGGAGGCAATAATATGACAGGTGAGGGGATGGACTTGAAAGTGAAAGTGTGGCTTATCTTTAAAAGCTGAGTGCAGACGCTTGATAATGAGATATTCTTTGGAAAGGTCAGTTTTCTGTTCGGAAAGTCTCAAAAGAATAATTACTTGTTTGTGCACAGCAGGACGGACTATCTGGGAATCGAATGCAGTGTGTTCCAGACAAGGTCAATTTTTTTTCTTTCTGCTCCGTGGATAGTTTTTAGACTGTGGCGGTGGAACAGCACATGTTAGACCATCTAGTCAATATTTCTTTGAATTTATTTTTGGTCATCTTCGGTACAGATGTGTTTGTGTGCAATTTTTTTATGTTAACCTTTTAATATTCACTCTTAGAAGAAAGCAATGTAATTCTTTTGTTTATGTTTTTATGCTCTAAGATGTAGGAGCACCAATATTTTTTATTTTATTTCATTAATTTTCATTTGTCTGAGCCTTTACCAAATGGTTGAGATACAGGTTGAAAAGCAAAAGTGCCTAAAACCAAGTGATAGAGATGCCCCAATGAGGTAGATTTCAGTTCCAAGCTTCACATAGTGACTAGAAAAGTAATCCATTGTGGTTAAGGAAACGATTAAAGGGTTAACATACCAAATTTATAAATAATAATGACAATAATAATTGGCCATTCCCTCAAAACCCTTCCCTTCCCAAGTTAATTTTTCTTCTTCACTGACTGCGAGTTTGTTTTTTGACAACTCAAGACCATATTTGGAACACGTCTAAATATGGCAAGAAAGCGTGCGGCCAATTCAAATTGCAACATTTGCTTTGGCCGTATTTTCTGCTCTTTTCAGACAGCTGTGTTAAAGCCCTTAGCGCCACAGAAGTCTGTTTGTCTAAAACAAACACGGTGGGTTGCCAGATACTATTTGCATGCTGAGAAGTCTTCCTCTTGGCTCATAAAAAACACAGTACAATCGCAGTCATTACTTTGGTCCAACTCTATCAATATTCCTTGCCCTCTCTGCACACCGCCCCTGTTTTCCTCTTTTTGTTTACTTTATCAGGGGTGTACATCTGACATTTTTGCTCCAGGCTTGGTGACAACACGGAAATGGCGCAACCCGGTGGGGAAGGGGGGGGGGGGGGGGGGGGGGGGGAATGGGATTGACCAGCGCAGAATGAAGTAAGTTGGCGGCTGGAGGCGGATACCAGTTGCTGTTGACAAGAGACAAAAGTTTGAAACCCAGGGGCCACTCCGAACCCCAGTTGGTCAATGAAGGGCGGCTCATCCTGGCTGTGAATCTGAACCTTGATGCCTGCTTCGTACGACGTCTCATCTGTGGATATAGTCACAACATGTCATCTCTCTGTCTATCTGCCTCCGGAGGTTTTCTGTCGTTTGGCATTTTAAAAACAAAAAGCTTTGAGCCGCTGTGATGCAATACAACTGAGGAAGTACAACTGAACAAGTCAAGTGTGTTAAAAGCACTGGACAAATTCGTTAAAGAGGTACTCATGCCGAGCCAGATGGAGAAAGAATGGCTACTGCTGCTCAATAAAAGAGCAATTAAAGCTGGGGTAGTGAGCTTTCAAAGTGCAAATAAATCTAACCCTGTAATAATATTGTTTTGAGTGTTTGCAGATCTAAAAACAGTTTGGTTTCATCTCTAAATTCACCTGTATGTACTTTATGTAGATGCATCTGTCCCATTTTTAGACCAGCTTTTTCAGGCGGAAAAGTGAAAAAGAGAGGCCTACACTCACTCAGCCAATCAACTCTCAGCCCAAAGAGTCAAATAGTGACTAGGGCTAGGTATCTTTCCCAGTCAAAATACTAAAAAAATAAAATAAAAGGTATGGTTAACACTAGGACTCCCAAAACTCTGAAACTACTAGAACTCCCAGAGCAGAAATGTGGATGGCCCCAATTCTAAATAATTGAATTCTGAAAATAATCCCTTAAAAAAGCTTTAGTTTTTTACTACTTTTAGTTTTTATTTTTAATACCTGCTAAAAGTGGTGATTACAAGTAAAATACAGCTGAACTAAAAACGAACTGCTGCAAGTAAACAGTGTGTTTCTATGGTAACCAGCACTTGCTCAAAGCTGAGATTGCTCCGAACCAGTCTAGGACCAGTCTTGAACCAGTCTAGAACCAGTCTGGAACCAGTCTGGAACCAGTCTAGAACTAGTATTGAACGAGTCTAGGACCAATCTGGAACCAGTCTGGAACCAGTCTGGAACCAGTCTTGAACCAGTCTAGAACTAGTCTAAAACCAGTCTAGAACCAGTCTAGGACTAGTCTTGAACCAGTCTGGAACCAGTCTAGGACCAGTCTAGGACCAGTCTAGGGACCAGTCTTGAAACAGTCTACAACAAGTCTAGGACAAGTCTTGAACCAGTCTAGGACCAGTCATGAAACAGGCTACAGCCAGTCTTGAACCAGTCTAGAACCAGTCTAGGGTCTAGATAATTTCCAAAACAAAAGACAAAGTAAATACATATAGAAAAAGAAAAAGTCACAAAGTTGTCTACAAAACTTTGTGACTTTTTCTTTTTCTATATGTAGTTTACTTTCAACAAAGTACATATGCTGAGTAATTACACTTCCAAAACGAAAAACCGTCAAATAGATTGCTCTGGGAGCTCTAGGTGTTGAAATAAAACCAATGGCTCTTTCTTACATGCATACAAAAAGGTTGTGGTCTGATTTGTTCACAACAGAAAGTGCTCTGTTGGGACAAAAGGTTCGGTACCCCAGCTTTAAGGTATATTTGATTTTCTGTTTTCAGTTTATAAACCAGTACTAATTAACTTGGAACAGATGTTGGAAAGAGCAAAACAGTCAAAGAAAGCCAACCCTCCTGGCAGGATACAAGTGTGTAATGAGAATTTAAACTACCATTATTGTCCATCTCAGTGAAAATAACCAGTCACCACAGGCTTGTACTGTAGAAGAAATCCAATTATATTATGTTAACACTTTAAATACAAGCTAATCATGGTGCTGTGGAAATTAATAACACACAGATAAAAATTTCAGTAAGCTCTAGAACTCGGAACATGTGGAGTGAACTTCTGCAATAATTCCCTTTGTGTTGAGCGCAGATCCTGCACCAATAAACGATCAAAGAGATTGTGCTATTTTTATCTTTCTGCCCTTTTATCATTGTGATTCAAATATAGATGAACTGGAACCATTGTATCCCAGAGTGCTCTAGTGCTGAATAAGGCATACTTTATATTTATGGACTTGAACTCAGAGGCCTATAATCTAGAATGCCGTATTTATGTCGAGAATGGAGTCATTTAATGATGTGACCTAGAATATTTCACTGGTTTCAAGATGTTTCTGACGAGTGGATTGTGACTGTTGTGTTTTACTTTTCACAAAACACAGCCCAGATTATTTTAGTTAAGATTTTGCTAAAGATTTTTCAAAATGCATAAAGTTGAGTTGTTAAAGTCAGTATTCATGTTGTAATCAAACCAAAACCCCTATTAAAACTCCAATGCCTTTGGAAGCTCCCCTGCAGTGGTTCTGCAGCCCCCCAGTGGGCCCAGGGCCACACTTTGGGAAACACCGAAGTTAATTAGTGGCATAACTCCTTAATGTGTAAAACATTTTTTATGTTATTTGACCAAACTTTATGATGAATGGTGAATCTTTCTTCTGTCATGTCATTAGTTCTAGAATAACAACTAACTTGCTGCAAAAGTCATGATATTTAAAAAAATGTCTTCCAAAACTGGAGTTTATTATTATAAAACCAATATTTATATTTAGCACGTAGCATGTCCAACCACTGGGAAATTGGAGAATTAGCAAATGAAATAACCTTATATATCCAACTATTTGTTAAATTTGGTCAGAAATATCTTGAAAACAGTGCCATAGTTCAGGTCAATGCACAAAATAAATAAAATACAGTAATATTCTGAATAAGTGTACATTTAAATAATGTAGACATATCATTTTCTCCAACATTTTGTTATTTTTGTTATTGCTACTTGAAACCAGACCTGTCTCTCCCCACACAGGCAGGTACTCGTCCTGCTGGATGTCCAACATGATCTCCAGACCGTTTCCTGTCCCGCCCTTTAACGTTGTCAGCAGCGGGTTCCCGTCCTGTCCTGAGTTGAATGTGTAGCATTTCCCGTATCTCGTGTAAATCTGCAAAACAGGAAACAATACAGTTCACAACAAAGACACCAACACTTGTTTGATGATTGTGTGAGTGTGGAGCAGCAGCAAAGACCACGATTCTTTATACCGACCTTTAAATGACCAATAAATTAGATTTTATAAGCAATTCCGTTTGTAATTAAGGACGGAATGTTTCTGTTGTCAAATATTATTATGATAAAACATGGGGACAAAACCTGGCCTGGTTTGCACAAAGTGGGACAATTTGGCAAATTTTATCAATGAAAGTTTTTTTCTCGTGTGTACATTTGTTTTTTACATGTATGCATTGTGTGCATTAGTGGCAGTGTACTCTTTAATGTGAAATCATCTTGTTTGAGATTTTGATGGCAACATTGTAACTTTTGGCATTAACTGGCACAAATCTCTTTTGTCTAAAAGCTCACATCTCAAAGTTGGAATATAAAAACGAAGAGAGAGAGATGTTTTTTTTGTACGTATTTCCTCCAAATTAATATTTAATTTTAATTAGACCATTGGATTGAAAGACACAAGTGAGACAACCAGTACATCGGCCCCTCCAACCACCACCAACCATTCACACACACACACCAGACTCATTCTAGGCAATGTGGATTAGGGTTAATGTGTCTTGCCTGAGGACACAACAACAGTGTGGCACTTTACAGCTGCCCCACTGTGGCACCTGGTGTTCCCAGAGGTTAAGTGTCTTGCCAAGGACACAGCGACAGCAGGCAGTGGGAGTCAAGGATGAAAGTTTTGATGAGGGCTGGAACCCACAGCCTTCTGGCTCAAAGGCCCCAATGCTCTACCAACTGAGCTACTGTCCCCCCAGGTAACTAAACATTTTCACACTCGTTTTTTCACATACATGTATCTTTGTCCACTGTTTAGATCAGCTTTTTCAGACAGAAAAGTGAAAAAGAGGGGACCACCTTCACTCAGCCAATCAGCTCTCATCCCAAAGCTTCAAATAGTGACTTACAAGGTCTTTCTTACAAGTATGCAAAAGATACAATATGTTCTTTTAAGATGAAGCAGGTTGTGATGTGATCTATTCACAAGATTTTACGTTGACGTAAGGCAAACCGAATGTTGAGGCAAACAGAAAGTATTAGACGGGTTGAAAAAACAATAACAGTTAGGTACCCCAGCCTTAAGGGTCAAAGCAAACAAAAATAATGAACTATATTTGCTATTTAAGAACTTTTATTTTATTGTCACAAACTTCCACTTATTTACTGTGTATTTACTTTGAGTTCAATCCCACCAAACAATTACTGACAAACAATTACTCACATGCACTTTACCTGTACCCATGCCTCAAGCGGGCGCACGGTAACATGTTTAGATGTGGCTTGTAATTGAACAGGACAGGTCATCTCTGCCCAGCCTCCAAGTGAGCATCTGCTTGGACAAATTAATGACTACGTCCTCAGCAACCATCGGTCCTATCCCCTCATTTCAATATGAATTTCCCCCAGGTATCCCAAACCCACTTGTTTTGCCACTGGTCTGGGTTGCAGCCATTTTGTGTCTGTAAACATCTGCTAAATTATGTTTGTGTCTTGATTCAAACCTGCTTGAAAGCTCGGCTGACATGTGAAGCTCTGTGGTGCCCAAAGAACCCACGAGAAATTGCCAACGCTGCAGATTGGAGGCTTTTAATTAAAGAAAGTAAGCGTTCAAGAGTGACATTTTACACTTTCACCGAGCGGGTTGCAGCGTAGGGATGCTCTCTGTGGTCGTATGCGCAACACTGAAAGCTAATTAGAGTTGTTGACATTTGCAATGGCTGAAAGCAAAGGATGAGCAAACAGCTTGAGGATTGGAGATCATTTTATATTGGGGGGGATATTGCAAATAAGATTTTAACAGACTTAGAATAATTAGGTTGAATCTAGCGGATATGGAGCTTGTGAGTGTAGTGTGATCGTCAAGTTATTAAATAAAAAAGTGAATGTAGGAGTTGCTTTGTATTAAATCAAGTTACAAGGCTCATAAACAAATACTAGTACCACTTAAAGACTGATTACAAGTGCAACATCGTATCTGAAATATCATGTTAAATCTGCCATTCAACATGCATCGGAGAAACAGAAGAATATTCAACACCAGACAGATACAACATCATCAGTAGATTAAAAATAATTAGAATCAGAAGGCCATTTGTGCAATTGGGAAAGTCACAAGTGAGTACTTTGCTTTGGCATTATCTGCTGGTATCTTGTGACTGGGGGTGGGATAAAAACACATATTTTTTACTTCTTCACTGAATAATGTTGTGAAAAATAAACCAAAAAACAGCTCAAATTTGGCAAAATGTGTCTTAATTTGAGCACATTTTCACTGCCTTAAAGTAAGGTGCTTAAGCTTAAATGGGAAAAGCAAAATGATCTTGTTTTTAAAGGAACAAGAAATGAGAAAATAAAGCAACAGATCTTGAATTAAGAATTGTTGCTACTGAGACAAATGGCTTTGTCCCATTAGCGATTCTTGTCAGAATGTACTCACAGTAATATAAAACCACTCAGTTGAATCAATTAATACCTCATATTTTATGATTTGTTTTACAGTGTTCTCACTCTCTTTCAAGCAAAGATGTAACCAGTTATGTTTGAGTATTACTGTGCATGCCACAATGGAGACTATGATATAAACAATATATTTATTTCTGCTCAAATGAAGAAATCAATCAAACAATCAATTATGCTTCAATGGCAAACGGACGACCGATAAAGAAAAAACCAAGATCAGAAAAGAAAAAAGAAACACAGAAAATGTACAATCTGCATTATCTGAAAACTGAGATTCCCAGATCAGACACAGTATGTCCCAGTGCCATGAGACTGAAAAACATTCCCATCAATAAAGGTAAACTTGATACAAAATGTGTCCAATTGTTTTTTTGGTTTTTTGTATAGCAATTGTAAGTAATGACAGAAATTCATTGCGTGATTTGTTGAATCACTATGATTCAATGTTGTGGCTTTAATATCCTCTATTAAGAGAGGCCCAATCAGCCAATTCAATAATCCTGGTTCAGCACTGATCCGACATAATTAACATTCTACTACAAAGCTGGTAAAAACATACTTCTATTACTAACAATCTGCTAAAAAAAATACACTTAAAATACTACTGTAAACATTGATTAAAAGGGTTTTGTATGTTCTGTATGTGTATGAAGATAAAAAAATGCATCAAATCACAGTAGAAATACAAATAACACATCGGTGAAAGCAACAATAGATCAAATTCCACCATCATTATAATATTAAGCTTTGAATAGTTTAGTTAACTTCATGGCTCCGATGCCCATGGACCCAAAAAGTCGATATTTAGCCAGGTTTTATTATAAACTTGATTTGAACAACAGCGACCATATTGCGCATTAAAAATCTTTCCAAAACACCACCTCAGCTGTCACACTTTCTCCAACGCATGCCTTTCCTTCCTACATTTCCTTTTCAGTCAACCAAAAAAAAACCGCAAAACAGCTTCTAATGCTGTCTTCAAAGCACTTTTTTTTTTTTGCACTGGCAGTTTCAGCCCGAACGGTTCCCTCGTCAAACCGTCCGTCCGCCCAACAACATGTCACAGTGAAAAGAAAGAGGATTTGATCTGCCAGTGCATTCTGACTATTCGCTATTGGGGGTCAGGGTCCAAGGCATCTGGCGAAAACTGAAGCGGCAAGAGAAATTCTCCGGGGATCTGGAGTCAGCCGTCCATGTCCGGCTTAGACACTGCCTCACAGACAGCACACTCGCCGGGGTCTTCTCTGCAGCTCGTGATAATGAGACACTGGAACGGTGGAAAGGCTGAATGAAACCACTTTGGATATTGAGCGGCAAAAAGATACACTGCAAACGGCTCGCAACTCAGTTCAAGAGAAGTAACACGAATGTACTCGTTTAGTACTAGTACTAAACTAGTACTAAATTAGTACTAGTACTAAATTAGTACTAAACTAGCTCGTTTAGGTCTGGCACCAAGCTATATTTCTGAACTTTTAACCCCCTACGAGCCCCCCCGCAGCCTTAGATCCTCGGGCAGGTCCCTGTTGACTGTTCCAAGGTCGAGGCTCCGGACGAAAGGTGACCGAGCCTTCTCTGTCCGGGCTCCTCGGCTTTGGAACGACCTGCCCGAGGAGATAAGGCTAGCACCATCAGTATCCTCTTTTAAATCTCTTCTTAAAACCCACTTTTATCAAACAGCTTTTAACTGTTAGTTTTAAACTTCCGATGCTGTATTTTATTGTCTGCTTTGTCTTTGTTGAGTCTCTTTTGTGTTTTGCTCTGTTTGCTTTGTGTTTCTGTATCTAATTATTTTGACCTTGCATTATGACTGTTTTTATTGTTTATCATGCTGACTGTGCAGCGCTTTGTAAACACTGTTTTTAAAAGTGCTATATAAATAAAGATTATTATTATTATTACTAAGTGGGGAAATGTGACAGGACAACATAAATATTGTACACGCCATTGTTAGATCAATAAAGTTTATCTTATCTTATGACTCAGATGTTGTTTGGGCTACTAGGCATGTCTATTTTTAAGCTTTTTAAGGACATTGTGCTGAAGACCAGAGGAGACAGAGCTTTTTCTGTTATAGGGTCAAAGTTGTGGAACTCTTTACCTTTGCACATTAGAACTGCACAATCACTCGAGCACTTTAAATCCCTGCTAAAGACGCAGATCTTTTTTCTTTGGCTTTTAATACCAAGTAGACAGAGACAAGATTTATTTAATTCTTAATTACATTTTTTGTATATATATATTTCTGTATTTTATGTGTTTTTATTTTTATCCACTTGTTTTTCCTCGCTGTCTGTTCAACACTTTGGTAAGCCTAGGCTGTTTTAAATGTGCTCTACAAATAAAGATTTGATTGATGGATTGATTTACATCTCAGTATGAAAAGCACTATACCATTAAAGATTGATTAAAAGGTCTTTAACAAAAGGCCACACTAATATTATTTTATTGGGGGCTGGTCTCTAAAGC